ATTTCCTGGCTGCTGGTGCGGGCGAATCCATGGAGACGTTGGTGCGCAGGCGCAGGGCGGGGCCGTTCCCATGGGAACCACAGGACGGGCTCCCTGCTCCTCAGGCGCAGTGGGGAGATTCGCTGGCCGCCTGGTCATCGCTGGCCTTAGACCGGTTGCCCACCTCCCAGCCTGTGGGTGCAATCCTAGATACTCGGTCCCCTCCCCAGTGCGCCCTTCTCCAGCGACCATCGATGGCTTCGTGCTCGGAGGGTCCTTACAGCCCCCACTCTATCCAATGCTCCACGCCTTGACTCAAACTTTGCCATCGAGGGGGAACCACGCCTCGCTGACACTCGGCGGGCTTCTGAAGTTGGACAGCGCTCAGGAGGACAATGTCCTTCCTCCTGTGGAGCAGCTGGTGGCTTCGAACCCATAGAGGGTTCCTTCCGGAGCAGTCCCCCTCCCTTCACCCACCCTGTATTTGCCCTTTTATTGATTGATTTGTTTGCTTGTGCAGTTTCCAGCAGGGCTAGTTTCTGGAAAAAACGATCCTGATGCAATAGAGTAGGGCGTGCAGCCAGGGCCGTGGGCAGGCTGCACGGACTGACGGGGGGATGGGGTGGGATGTGGCCTGCAACCGAGGAAGGACCTCGAGGTCTTCAAACGCAGGGAACAGGGTGGGGGGTCCTGCAGCGAAAGGGCACTGGTAATGGCCCTTCAGAAGTCTCAGCTCTGTCTGAAGGTGAGGTGATCCCCATCAAATGGGCTGCTTCTCATATCAGGCAGGAAGGAACTCCTGACATCAGGTCTTGGAAATGTTGAAGAAAAATACACAAATCTGGATTTCTACTGAACTCTAAAAAAGAAAAAAAGGGGCTGATGCCTTTTAATTGTGGCGTTGGTGAAGGAATTCCCTATCCCATCGACTGCCAAAAAAAACACACACAAGTGCAACCAGGGTGCCTCTTAGGACGGTGAAACTTCCTCTCCCGACTTTGGGCATGTGTCAGGAGGGGCCCTTCTTTGGAGAAAACTGACCCGTCCCTGGTCTTGCCTCTTCTGGATGTTTAACACAAATGGTATCATACAGCACACGGCCTTTGTGTCTGGCTGTTTTCACTGAGCAGGGTATGTTCAAGGTTCATGTGTACTGTACATATTTGTTTCTTTTTTTAATTGAGTAAAGTTTTCTTTTTAAAAACGTACAGTCGGTTGGACCTGTGTATGTGTCTACACCAGCAGCTGGGGCATCACCACCTTTGGTGTTTCTGGTGTAAATGACTTGAGCTCTGTGTTTTGAAACCAGCTTGTAAAGTTCTTTACTGAGCAGCTCCTGCAAGGCTGTCTGGGCCAGTGAACCCCAAATCTTCATTTTCTCAAAGACAACAGCTGGGGTTATAAGCTTAGAGTTGGGAACTTCTTTACAAAGTTTGTCATATGTGGCTTTGTCAAACAAGACCAGGTTACCGAGCTTGTCCCGAGCTTTGCCTTTGGACCACTTCTTCTTCTTGGCCTTGTCCCCAGGTGTCTTCTTGGCCGACTTTCTTCTTCTTATTATTGTCCTTGGGCGGCATGGCAAAGGTCGGAAAGGAGGTACCACAAGTGCAGCCTTGTTAAGACGTTGGACAGCAAAGCTGTTTCGTTCATTTCTGTTGAGGAATAATCCATTGTATGATGATGCCATTTCTTGATGCGTTCAACACTTGATCGATACTTGTGTTGTTTCCGCCTCTGGACCTTTATAAATACTGTTGCCTGGACATCTGGCTACAAGCTTCTGTGCGTGAAGATGTGTGCTTTCATGCACCCTGGGTAAACACCTAGCAGGCCTGGTCACACAGGCAGCTAAGTGTGGGCTGTAAAAGGACCGCTGTTCGGACTCGCAGGCTGCTCCATGGGAGAAACGTGAGGTGGTCTCCACCTACTGAGCCACAGCCTTAGTGACCTTGAGGGACAGTTCTGCTCTGAAAATGAATGTTTGTCTTCCACAGCAGCTGTCAGTCTTGGAGAGGGTGAAACCAAATGACTCTCTGGAGGCTAGGCTTTTGAAGCTCTTTCTCACATACTTTGGGCACATGGCCAAGGACAGACTGGTCCTTGGAGAAGGACATCATGCTTGGAAGGGTTGGATGGACAGTGCAGGAGAGGAAGAGCCCAGGTGAGATGAATTGATACAGTATCTGGGAAGATAGGGTTGGTGTGTCAGAATTAGACTGGCTCAGGACAGGGCAGGGTTCAGAGCTGCTGTACATAGGGTCTCTATGGGTCACAGGTCACTCGACAGCACATAGCCACAACATGTCTTTTTGACATCTTAACTCCTTCTATCACAGGTATAGATTGTGGGCCTAAGTTAAATGAAATCGTAGACAACTTCAGTCATTTCTCTAGTGGTGAGAATTTTTGTTTTCTTAAGCTTGAGGAGTAATTCTCACAGAAGGTTGATCATGAGAGACTAACTTCACGTCTTCATCACTTCGAGCAAGCGTCGTTCACGTGGTCAGCAGCAGCCACGTAGGCCATCGCAGCAGCATGCCAGGTAGCCATGTCCACCTTGACATGGAAGATTGTCCTGGAGAACACACCTTCAGAGGAGCCTGATGGCATAGCTGTTAAGCACCCAGCTACTAACAGAAAAGTGACTGGATTAAACTCCCCCCATCCCCACCCCCAGGGCTCCACTGGCAACCTGCCCTGTAAACTCACTTGAGAAAACACAAGGGTTTCATTCTACTCTGTCCCATGGTGTCCCTCTGAATTGGAATCTACTAGATGCACATGTCCTGGATGGAACTTGGTCTCCTCAAAATTCATGTGAATGTGGCAAGGCCACATGTGGTTGTCTCCATGTGGGATGTGTTGCAAATCCTAGCCTGTATTGTGGTTTATGGCAATGTCAGCTTTGCACTGGGGAGTGATGTGTTAGATCAATGAGAATTAGACTTTGCTCAGCATGAGGGTTGGCTGCATCACACTTGCTGGAGGCACACACCTTTCATCTTCTAAGCAAAGAGGGGCCTCATTACCAAGACAGGAGAACGTTGATGTGAGGATCTATCATCCAGAGCCCACAAACGTAGCTTGCTTTCCTGTGACTGGCTTAAATTCAGGCTTCCTGCTCTGACTTCTGCTGCCATGGGAGGGAACACATTTCCTTGTCAGAGCTAGCCATGTGCGTCACAGCAGCACTCGTTCAGCACACCACACTGGCCTTGGTGCTGCTGTGGACCACAGCTCTAGTTGGTCGCCTAGTGTTACCCTTTGCCCCCACCCCCACCCCGTGGTCTCCTGACCTCTGACCTGCCTTCCTGGAAAGGGGAGGAGCTTTGGGTCCCCTGTTGCTGCCTCCTGCTGACCTGCTAGGCTTTTAGCAGCTTGAACCTCACTCCAGACACTCACAGAGTGAGCTGGTGGATGAAGGCCACTATGTGTCTGCTAGTGACCTCCTTACTGCTGTGGGGTGAGCTGCCCTGGACACTGGGGTCTCTGGGCTGGAGAGGCTTGGGAGGGCAGGAGTGGGGGTCTCACACGTCTTATCTCCACAGGCCTTGTCATGGGTCCAGCGGCTCAGGCAGCCACTTGTAAGTACCCAGCTTGGGGCAGGGTTGAGGGGTCACACTCAGCCAGGGGGCCCCTGGCCCAGATGTCCCTGCACTGACTGCGATCTTCTGTGCAGATTTTGACCCCACACCAATCCTTTGGGCAGAGGCCCAGTCGCTGCTGGATCCCTGGACCAATCTGACCCTGATCTGCCGGGCCAAGATGAGCATCGGCTTGAGTTTCCAGTTGTTCAAAGACGGTGTGCTTTTAGAGTCCGTGAACTCAATAGCCCCGGAGTACCACTTTTCTGTGGAAGCAGTGACCGCTGAAACCCAAGGCCTCTACCGGTGCCGGACAAACACAGGGCAAGTGTGGACAGAGCTGAGCAACCTGGTGGAGCTGTCTGGCCCAGGTGAGCAGGGGCCCTCCCCCACTCTCCACCACCTGTCAGGGGCCTCAGAGCCCCCTCCCCGGGGAGCTGTGTGGCCATGGGTGGACTCACTTGATGTTTCCCATGTGTAACATGGGACGACAATGCTCTGCTGACCCCAGAACTTGAGAGGACCAGCCAGGTAAGAGCCCTGGGAAGTCTGCAGCCTGGCCTCCCAGAGTGGAGGGCAGAGAGGTGGATTGACAGGAGGCCTTGAGGTGCTAGTGTCCCACTGGATAGAAAGCTCATGTTCAACAACATTGCAATCTCTGAGAGGAGCTCTTGTTTGTGAGAAATGTTGTAAAACAGAACATGCATGAAGGCTTGGGTGACGAATGAAGGCTTGGGTGACGAATCCGTTTTCTGTCAGCTTTCACTCCACTCACCATAAAATGTAGTGGGGAAGTGATTGCTTAAAACACATGCAATACTTAGGGAGCTCTGGTGGCCTAGTGGCAAGATGCTGCACTGCAATCCCAGAGGTATGCAGTTCAAATCCACCAGATGCTCTGCTGGAGAAGGAGGGAGCAATCTCCTCCTGTACCAGTCAGATCTGATTTGACGGTACACGTAAAAATAATACCAAAAAACCCCCAAAAAACCCCCAAAACAAAAAAAAACCCACATGCAATACTTAAAGGCTGTGATGGACAACTTGGAGTTGCTGTGACGCTGAGCACTACTCCACAGTTGCGTCAAGTACCATATGGTCACCCATTTTGCACGATGGTTGGATGAGCATCTGGGTTGATTCATGCTGGGAAGTAGGAGTGGCATCCACTTCCTAAACTAGATGCCCCTGGAAACTCTCCAAACTCTCTTATAAATGTACAGAAATGATGTTAATTATAGATCAGAGTTCAGGTCTTTTGTGCAAAGCTTACTCTGAGTCATATTTGACTCGACGACACTTAACCACTGCTAAAACAGACGAGTGCTGTTATATCTGGATGAACAGTCTTCCACTTTGCATATCACTCTTTGTCAATGAGCTGTATGAATTAACCTGGGTTTACTATGATGCTGAACATTGTGCCATGGGGATATCAAATACCAGAATGGTTTCCTGTTGTGGACAGTGTTCGGTGGAGCTCCCAGTTGTAAAACATGTTGGGAAGCAGGAGTGGCATCCACTTCATACACTACATGCCTCTGGAAACCCTATGAACTTGGGAGAAACAACGATAGCTGTGGAAAGGCATTAGGTCTTTTGTTCATAGAGTTGCTATGAGTTGACCTTGACTGGACAGCAGTCAACAACAATAAAGGCACGTTTCCATTAACAAATATTACCATTTCCAAATGGGATCATACGTGCAAGAACACTGCTGTTTGGACTTCTAGAGACTTCTGTGCCACAGAAGGAAAACAGGTCACCTCCTGCAGCATCCCGGCATCTCTGCTGGGCCCAGGCCCAGCCAAATCATCAACATGACAGTCCATCCGGTTGAGGGGCTTCCTTTCGTTCGTGCACTCTCACTTTCCGAGCATCATGTCCTTTTCCAGGGCCTGGCTACAGCTGACCACATGTCCCAAGTGTGTGAGATAAAGTCTCACAACACTCAACTTCACAGACATCAGTTTTTCTTTAGATTTCTCTATTGTCCAACTTCACATACCTATGAAGTAACTGAAAACACCATGGCTTGGGTCAGCTGTACCCCACTCTTTAAAGTGGCATCCTTCCTCTTTAGATCTTACTTCTTAGTTGGTTGTGGCTCCGAGTAAAAGGAAACAGTTAACTTCAGGCTTTCTTCTGTTTATCCTGATGTTGTCGATTGGACCAGTGGTGAGGATTTTGGGATTTTTTATGTTGACATATACATAAGGTTATGGGACAGATTTAGAAACTGTTTTTAAAAGGGGCATACTTTAATAGACATCACAATTTCTGAAGATAATTTCAGAATGGATTTCTCTTTCTCTCTCATTGCAATAGTGTCAGCATCATCTCATAGCTGACCCTCCTTGGGTTTCTGAAACTGGAAACTCCCCTGAAGAAGTGATTCCTTTTTCTCCCTGTAGCTGCTGGTGAATAAGAACCTCTGTGTGACGACGTCACAATATAAGGCAGGCTTCCCTCAGGGAAAAGTTCAGGTGTGTGCACAGGCTGGCATGAGTAGGACCCTAACAACATTTGGAAAGCTTATGAACACTGACAGAATGGCCAGGTGTGATGGTGAGACGGGAAGTGTTCACTTGAGAGCACGACCAGGCACGTGGGTGAGATGGGTTCGCATGTCATTGGCTCACTGGCCCCACAGGCGCTCCAGGTAGGCTCATCACAAACCTTCAAACTTGTGAAAAATGCAACATGTGTCAAGTGAAGCTTAATGACAGGAGGCCCATCTGTGCCCACTTCTGCCTTTGTTCCTTTTCCCCCCAACCTGCCTCTCCCAGGAATGCTTTCCCACCATTTCCAGTCCCCCACGGGATGCCCCGAGTGAAGGGGTCTTCCCTGAGCACACGGCTGTCCATCTCTCCGCATTCTGCAGGCTCACTGGCCGCCCCCTCGCTCTCTGCTGGCCAGGTGTCCTGGGTCACTCCAGACTGGAACACGACCCTCGTGTGCCGAGCATGGCTGCAGGGTGTTACCTTCCTCCTGACACGGGAAGGTGAGGATGGGTTCCTGGAGGAGGTGGAGGCACCAAAGGACACAAAGGCCACCTTTTCCATCCAGCGTGGAGGCAACTACAGCTGCAGCTACCGCACACATGCCGCCGGCCAGCCTTCCCCGCCCAGCGCCGCCGTGAGCATTGAAGGGCTTGGTGAGTGCAGGATGATCCGGTCCAGGGGACTGCAGGCTGGGGCACTGGGAGGACAGCACTGGGCAGCCTTTGCCCTTACCCTGTGAACCTTCCCAACTAGGAGGGGGCCAGAGAAATGGTGGCCACAGTGGCCAGAACTGGGGAGTTGGGTGGGAGGTTCCCAGGGACGCAGTAGGGTGGTTCTGTGGGGACAACAGTGTGGGGATAGTTTCACAGGGACGGAGCACGGAGGACTGTCTGTTGGTGGCTTTCTACCTCCCCTCCCTGCCTTGCAGAGGTGCCGCCCCCACCTAGCCTGAGCGGAAAGGACACAGGTGTCCAGCGGCCGGGCACGAGCCTGAGCCTGCTCTGCACCGCACCACTGAGTGGAGTGCATTTCCAGCTACGGCGTGGAGAGGAGGTACTGGTGGTCACCATGCATACCTCCAGCCCAGACCGTGTCTACTTCGACATGACCTCACTGACCCCAGCAGACAGCGGCATCTACACCTGCCGTTATCAGCTTCCAATGCATGTGACCTGGTCCCTGGACAGTGCACCCTTAGAGCTGCTGATAAGTGATGGTGAGGTGGCTGGACTGCAGGGGGTGAGGTGGTCTGGTGGGGTGCAAATTGCTGGTACGTGGGGCTCTGGACCTCTCCATCCTCGCCTGCCAGGCTCACTTCCATCCGAAAATGGAGTGATGACCGCAACAACCTCGTGACCAACAAAAATACTGGGGGGCCTGGCACAGGGCAGGTGGGCAGACTGTTTTCTGGGGCCAGGGTGGCTCTAAGAACAGCCTGCAGGCCGTTCAGGGGCTACCGGAATCCACTCTAGCCTGGGGAGTGTGGCTGTTCCAGCCTCTCAGGACCTGAGAGTGGTTGCCATTCGCAGAGCTCAGCTGAGAACTGGACTGCGAGTCCTCAGAGGCCAAGAGGTGGCAGCTCGCCCTGGGCGGAGTGGCCACGGGCTGGTGCATGCAGAGTCAGCGAGGTGAAGTGGAGACTGACTTTGGGGTACAGTGTGGTGTCAGAACAGGACTCCTCTTGTTTTTCTAGAGAAACAAATAGTTGTGATGTGGTATCAAGGTGAAGTTGATTCCTAGCTGACCCTGCGGCCGGTTTTCAGCGGCTGTTAAGTCTCACAGGAGGAGACCGTCCACTTTTCTTCTGTGGAACAGCGGGTGGGCTTGAAATGCCTGCCTGTGAGTTGGCAGCACAACTCTTGACCCACTTGGCAGGAGAGCTTCCTGGAGAATCAAATCAATACAGAACTTTTTAGGTGTCTGTGTGAGAGATGGGGGCACATCTCAGTGCGCCACACCGCTCACCCAGAGATACTTGTCTCAAGCACGTACGGGACCCACCAGGGAGAAAGCTGGCCAGTGTCCTCTGTGACCATGGAGGGTCAGTAGAAGTCAGGAATCCCTCCATGGCAGCATGCTTCTTGAGTGAGAGACACAAAGAGATGAGCGATGGAGGAGGGAGAGAGACAAACAGAGAGGGAGACAGAGGGAGAGACAAGAGAGGGACAGAGGGGGAGAGGGAGAAACAGGGGGGACAGAGGAGGAGGGACAGAGTGGGGGAGACAGGAGGGGGACAGAGTGTGGAGGAGACAGAAGGGAGAGACAGGAGGGGAGACAGTGAGTGGTGGATGGGGGAGACAGGAGGGGGAACAGTGTGGGAGAGACATGGGAAGAGGGGGCAGAAAGTGAGGGGGACAGAGGAGGGGGAAAGACAGAGGAGGGGAGGAGACAGAGGTGGGAGAGACAGAGGTGGGAGAGACAGAGTAGGGGAGACGGAAGGGGGAGATGGGAGACAAAGGAAGGGGTGAGAGACGGAGGAGGTGGAGGGAGGGGAAATGGAGGAAGGGAGTGGAGATGGCAGACAGAGGAGTGGGCGAGATGGAGGAGAGGAAAGATGGAGGGAGGGGCAGCGGAAGAGGGAGAGACAGGTAAGGTAGAGAGAGAGACGGGCAGCCATGGAGGGACTGAGTGTAGAGGCAGAAGGATGTTGGCGACATGGAGATTGACAGGGTCTAGGGATGTGCAGACATCTGGGCACACCATGGACCGCAGTCTAAGTGGACAGCCACAGGGTCTGCCCTGAGAGAAGGGTGTCAGGGGCACAGGATGGAGGCCACAGTTGGGGACAAAGGGACTGCAGTGGCTGGAGCCCCAGCCCTGGCCTGACCAGGCATGTCTTCCCACAGAGACACTGGCCGCGCCCGAGCTGCTGGCCGAGCCCAGCGGTCACCTCCGACCTGGTGCTCATGTGAGTCTGCGGTGCCAGGCGCCCCGGGCCAACGTGCGCTTCGTCCTTGAGCGCCAGGGCGCATGTGGGCACCAGGGGTTGGACCGCCAGAGTCCCGAGGGCTCAGTGGCCCAGTTCGACCTCCACAACATGTCGGTGCTGGATTCCGGCAACTACAGCTGCATCTACGTGGACCTGACGGCGCCTTTCCCAGGCTCGGCGAGCAGTGAGCCCGTGGAGCTGCATGTGGACGGTGAGCCGGGGGCCCTGAGCCTGCCTCTTGAGAACCACGCTGGCCTCAGTCCCACCCTTGGCCGTTCCTGTGGGCCAGGGTTCCGGGGACTCACAGTTATTTCCAATGATTTCCAAAGTGGTTGTGGTGCCAGTGTGCAGGCTGCCTGCCTTGCTCCGCCCGTTTCCAGGGCTGGACTGTGGTGGAAAATTAACGCTTCATCCCCACCAGCTCTTTCCTACCATGGGCTTCGGGGCAGGGAGCAGACAAAGCAGATGGGCCTCAGTCCTTGCTGCCGGGGGCGCTGTTGGCCTGGTCAGGAGGGAAGAGGACCCCTCTGGTAGTTAAAATCCATCAGCCGCTCAGATGAAGAACGATGGACAAGCTCCTCCCACGAGATCTGGAAACCGCTGGAGGGACATCTTCGGGACGGCTCTGAGTGGACAGTACTGAGTACAGTGAACAGCTGTCGTCCCTGGGAGTGGATACCACTTCCACCATCATCTGATTCTGTCCACTCAATGTCCAGGGCTCCATGTGTGGGATGATGGAGCCTTGAAAGGCCTCAGGCGTCCAGGGCCTGGTGTGCCCAGTTCCAGGGACCCTGAGGTCACACAGCAGGTCCAGGGCTGGGGACCGTGGGGAGGTCATAGCAGACCCAGGTTGGGGATGGCAGGCTGGGCTTAACGGGGTGACCAGGTGACATGGCAGCTCTGTCTCTCCTTAGCCCCCAGGTTGGGCAGAGGTGGGCCTGGGCGTGACCTTTTGAGGCCAGGGTCTCACCCTATTGTCCCGGCCACTCTGCCCAGGTCCCCTTCCCAAGCCCCAGCTGCGACCTCTGTGGCAGGGGCCAGTAAGCCCTGGCCACAATGCTGTCTTCCGCTGTGAGAGCTCGTTGTCCAGTGTCATCTATCAGCTGCTGCATGACGGCGAGCCGGTGAACAGGGCAGTGAAGAGGGCCACCAGAGAGGAAGAAATGGTGCTGACCTACGTGGGGCCCCAGGATGCTGGCAAATACAGCTGCCGTTACTACATAAAGGGACTCGACTTCTGGTCAGAGCCCAGTGACTCTCTGGAGCTGCAGGTGGCAGGTGAGGGTTTCCTGGGTGCAGGTGTGTCCAGATCCAGTCTCTGCTGTGGTTGTGTCCTTCCTGGTCTCTGGGTGTGTTTCCAGGGGTTGGAGGTGGTAAAGGAATTGCTGGCAGGGGGAACAGCATGTGCAAAGGTCCTGGGGCAGACAGTGCTTGGTGACGGGAAGCCTGACGTGGAGTGGCAGCTTAAGGGTGGGGAGGGTGTCTTTCACAGGCTCCATCCTAACACACCCCTGGTCTGCAGAGGGGGTCTTCATAGTTACCCCAGTTCCCAAAGCTCACTGTCCTCTTATTGTACTTCTGTCAAAAGGAAGCTGATTCAGCTGGTGACAGGATCCCTGGGAACTCCTCTGTGGTCCAGCTGGTTTTGCTCCTGCTGCCAATGGAGGCTGTGTCATTCCAGAATTCCTCCCAGAAATTAATAAATATGGAGACATCTTGTTGAACTGTCTTTGGCTGATGGGTCGAAATAGCCCAGGGGATGGGCCGCCAAGGTTGGGGGTGGGGTCATGGACTGGGATCTGAAGGTGGGAAGATCGCTGTGGGGAGGGCTCTGGGTCCTGAGTTTGGGTGGTCTGGGGGCTGGATCCTGGGCCCTCACTGTCCTTGGCCCTTGTCCACCAAGCTGGTCACTCTCCCGGCACCGTCTCTGCTCACTCCCAGTGTGGATGGACAGATCTACACTTGTGCTGGGGTAGCTCCAGGTTCCAGTAAGGCCTCAGCCCTAGCTGCTGCACCTGTTCCTATGGGGACACGGACCATCAGACAGTAACATTGACCAGACTCACAGGGATCAGAGTGTGCACAGGGCAAACCTGCCCCACTGCTTCCTGGCTGTTTCTCCTTATGGAGGCCCCAGTGGATTCAAACCACAGACCTTTGTGTTAGCCCAACATGCAGTCCACAACACCTCCGGGGTTCCTTACTGAGATGCAAACCTCAAACCCTTTGTCATCAGGGCACCTTAACTGGACACAATCTGAGGCCAACAGGGCTCTGTGGTCCCGCCTGCGTGGCTCAGGCCCTCAGCGGTACTGTGGATGGAGTCAACACACGAGTCCCACCGCGAATGCTCTTCTCGAGATTCTGCCTCCTTCCTTCCAGGCCTCTGGGTCACAAGGACGCCCTTTTTTCTGGATTGTTTAAATATTTTTTAGTATTCAAGTTTTGGTTTCTTGAAAACCTGTTTTTATCATGATTTGAGTGAAAGTTTACAGAGAAAATTGGTTTTCCACTTCACAGCTCACACACTTGGGTTTCCTGGCACTGATCTTAATCCTCACATTGTGTCCACATTCTTCTCATGTCCACGTTATCCATTTCATCGAAGGTCATTCATTAATTCGAACGTTGTAGCCTTTCTTCAAGACTCTAAAAATGTATTTATAGTTTTGAGTGAAAATTTACAATCGTATTGGTCTTTTAAGGGAGCGCTGGTGGCCTAGTGCACATGGTTCGAGGCCCCCTGCTGCTCCGCAGAAGGACGGGCAATCTCCCCCATGTGACTTACTGCCTCTGAGAACCCGCCAGAGGGTCAGTTCTGATCCTACAGCGCACAATAATATTGTGTTTTCAATCATTTATGTGTGCTTTGTTTTAGATTAATTGCAAGTAACTGTTTTTGAAGTGTTCTTCTTACGTTCTGTCTAGCTAGCTCCAACTCACAGCAACCCCAGAACTGAAACCTGCCTGATCCTCCCAGCTCTTCTCAGCTCACGCTGACTGCTGATGTTAATCACCTTAAAACACGGTTTACGGGTAAATGGTGCATGGAGTGAAGTCCTGTAACCCTCCTCTGGGGCATCACTGATACTTTAAAATCTGATGGGGCCGTGGAGGAACTACTGTTTCTTTTCCTTTTTGGGAATCAGTAGTTCTAGGGTTTAATCCCCTTGCCCCCCCCTGCCCATCCCTTTCCACTATGAAAGAATAATTCCATCTGGAAATACAACCCGGGAGGAGTTATGAGACAGAAGAACACAGTGCCCTGGAAGCAGAAGGGAGAGGCTAACCCTGCCGTGAGGTTCAGGGGAGAGATTTCACTGGGGGACATGTGGAACACCTTGAGGATAAGAACTGTCATCTGACAGTTATGAAAAGTCCTCCAGGCACGGAGACAAAGGCACGCAGGCTGGGAAAATAAGGCTTCTTCCGGAAGCACGAGGGAGCAGGTTCAGGATTGCTGTGTGGGTTGTGAGGCTGTCGGCAGGCTGGAGGCCAGGAGCCCCGCTCATCAGATCAGCGCCCTCATACCCTCCTCACACGGCTGCAGGCACACAGAAGGACGACCAACATCTTGATGTGCAGGCACACCAGAGATCTGCACGCTCGGTCCCAGGCCGCAGAAGTAAAGTGACGATCGCCATCGGTGGAGTTACACAATTTTTTTAGGTTTCTCAGTGCACCGAAAAATTATGTTCACACTGACAGTCTCTTAAGAGTTCAACATCATGGAAGAGCTTCAAAAAAACGTGATCAGAGACACAAGTGAGCACAAACTGTTGGGGGAAATCATCCATGTTTCCAGGTGCAAAGTTGCTACAAACCTTCAATTCTTTTCAAAGGCCGTGTCTGTGTGAGGGCGGTGAGACGAGGTTTGCTTCTGCCTGTGAGCCACTGGGGAGTTTTATTGTAGTGAGTGACACAGTGCAGAACTTTCTGCCATGGTGACATCATCAGGTGTGTGTTGCTGAAAGAGGCCCCCAGAGACCAGCGCAGACATGAGACGGAGGGTCGAGAATGACAGCTGGAAGGGGCCAGCAGGGATTCCTGTGCTGTAATCCAGGGAGAGATGAGGAGGGCTTGGGTGGCAGAGGGACAGGAGGAGATCCACAGGGCTGGGAGCTGGCGGGAGATGGGGACAGAGGGGCGGGAGGGAATGACGACAGGCAAGTGTGAGGCACCATCAGTCAAGGCGGCGTAGGGCGACAGAGTATGAGAGACTTCCTGGAGAGGCAGCTGTAAGGTGAGGCCTGGAGTGAGACGACTTGGGGTGGGATGGGCACGGCCAGGCGTCCCTCCTGGGTCACATGAGGAGGACGAGGCAAGAACAGTCACTGTGAGGCTAGCAGCTCTGTGGCATCTTGGGAGCAGAAGCACGACACACCTTACCCCATCTGCTCATTTCTGAGGACGAAGTTAAATTTTCAACTCAGCTGTCTTTTCTCCACGACAACCCTAAGTGGCTACAGAAGGCAGCAGGATCCTTCTAGAAGCTTTTCCACCTCCCTGAACCACTGTGTGTTCACTAAGGGTCTCCCGAGTTTCCCAACGCAGAATTATTCCCAGAGTCTACCTTCAATCACTTTGTTCTATTGGGAGAGTCAGCCCTCCCTCGCCCATTCTTTTCTATTTTCCTGGAACTTGGAGTCTCTCGGATGTGGAAACTCTAAGGGGAGGCTGTGTGCACGCAGAGGGCATCTTCCAGTCACCACTGCACTGCGATGTGAATCCTAGATGAACAGTTTCTGTCCTGCTCAGTCACTGCTGCACTGCGACGTGGATGGACCACGGGCCTGGGGCAGGGGAAGCGCCCCATGGTCACTGTAATATGTGGTGTGGATGTGTGGATGGACCACGGGCCTGAGCCAGGGGACGCTCCAGACTCACGGTCACAGCAGCACTGTGATGTGGACAAGCAGACGAACCACGGGCCTGAGGAAGCTCCCTGTGGTCACTGCTGCACTGTGACGTGGATCCGTAGATGGACCATGAGGGCTGAACTGCGGCTGAAGGCCTTCCCACAGTCACTGCACTTGTAGGGCTTCTCTCCCGTGTGAGTCCGCTGGTGCTCGATGAGGGAGGAGCTCTGGGCAAAGGCCTTTGGGCAGACCTTACACTGATAGGGCTTCTCCCCAGAGTGGACCCTGAGGTGTCGGATCAGGGCTGAGCAGTCACTGAAGGCTCGCTCACACACGTGGCACCTGTAGGGCTTCTCCCCCGTGTGGATGCGCTGGTGCTGGGTCAGGTGGGTGCTCTGGCTGAAGGCCTTCCGGCAGGCCTCACACTCGTAGGGCCGCTCGCCCGTGTGCACCCGCCGGTGCTGGGTCAGGTGGGTGCTGCGGCTGAAGGCTTTGCCACATTCTCCACACCGGTAGGGCTTCTCCCCAGTGTGAATCCTCTGGTGCTGCGTGAGGTGGGTGACTCGGCTGAAGGCTTTCCCACAGTCCTTGCACTCATGGGGCTTCAGTCCTGTATGGACGACCTGATGCTGGGCCAGGTGAGTGCTCCGGCTGAAGGCTTTCCCACACTCACCGCAGGTATGTGGTGTCTTCCGAGAATGGCTCTTCTGATGTGCCTGAAGGGCGGAGGGGCTCCTGAATGTCTTCCCACAGGGGCCACACTTAGGAGACCTGATCCCCAAGTATGTGTGTGGACACTCAGTCTCAGAACCACACAGAGGATGGGATTTCCCTTCTGAAGGAGCTTTCTCTCCAGAGTCAAGGTCTGCACACACGCTGGGATTGGTCCTCAAGGCACCGTCGCCACAGCAAGGCCGGCCTGTGAAGGCCTCGTTGGCAGGACCTGAAGTTTTCCAGAAATCTGTCTGCTGGGCTGCTATAGCCTCGTGGGGTCCTGCCTGTCTCTCTGTGCTGCTCTCAGGCTCACAGGTGCTGCCATGAGCAGGTCCCGTGGACACCCCACCTGTGAGGGGTTCAGCGACTGTGTCTGGGGGCCATGACTCTTCTGAATTGTTCTGTTTGGGGCTTGCCGCAGCCAGCTCGGGCCCCAGCTCCCACCCTGCAACAACCCAAACCACAGTGTCACTACTACGCACCTCCCAGGCATGGCCAGGGCTCTGTCATCCAGTCACCACCCAGGGCAGTTGCTCATGGGGGTCTCTGATAACCAAAGCATGCAGGACTGGACCCCATGCAATGAAAAACTGTCCCCTCACTGCCGCTGAGTCCACCTGGACCCACAGAGACCCTGCAGGACAGAGGAGAGTCTGCCCCTCAGAGGTTCTGAGGAATGCTATGAAGCACACTGCCACGTCCCTCTCCTGCAGGGCAGCTGGTGGATTTGGACTGCTGGGAGCAGCTGACCGATGGTGTCCCCAGAGGTCTTTTTAACCCCACAATTTGGGCTTATCTTCAGAGGCTGAGAGGAGAGGAGGGGACTGGAAAGTTCCTATGGCCAGCCTCAGAGGTCTGAAGACAGTCTTGGGAACAGGGTGGACAAAGCTGGGAGGTCAGAAACTCACTTACCTAGAACCTGGAGCGTCCTGTTCCTGTCCACCTCCCCGCTGTGGACAGAGGCACCATGAGGAGGGTTCCTATCAGGCCTCTGCTCCTGGCCTGGTTTGGGAGAGACTCTTTCCTGTAAGCCAAGGACCTCACCTGTTATGACTGACCTGTGTCCCCCGCAAAAAAACTATTGTAAACCCTCACCCTTATGCCCTATGTGAATATCAAAGATGAGGAAATAAACATTACCAAATTCTGCAGTCTGAAATGGATCGCACTATGTTGTCACCATGCAGTGATAATTACTCGTTACTGGAATGGGAAAGTAAGAAACAAAGCTCACCAGCTAGAAAATAGACCTTGGTGACAGACATGATGCAAAAAGTCCCACGACAGAACTGTGCAAAACCAGCTTACCCATTAGGGAGCTCTGGGGACTTAGTGGGTAATGACTGCTAACCCAAAGGCAGGTGGTTCGAATCCACCAGCTGCTCTGCAGGAGAAGGATGGGCAATCTCCTCCTGTGCAGTTAACTGCCTCAAAAAACCCGCTGGAGAGTCAGCTAGTGAGTGGGTTCTGACTGGATGATACCCAACAACACCACAAATGGAATTCAGCAGATGGAATACATCAAGTCAACGACGTCTTTAGAAAGAGAACATCATCAGTCAGACCAGGGTTAGGGGCCAACTGTGGCACAGTCCATCAATGACCCCTTGTCATGTTCACACCGAAGCTGAAGAAAATGTAAACAAAGCCAAGAAAGCCAAAGTATGGTGCTGAGCATACCCCAACTGAATTTGGATACCATTTCAAGAACAGATACGATGCATGCAACACTCATGACTATAGACCAGATGAAGTGTGAGATGACATTATCCATCAAAAAAGCAAAGTCTTTAAAAACAATAGGAAAGAAATTACCAAAATGAATGTCACAAGACTATGAAACTCACTCTTGAACATCAAGTTGCTATAAAGCAAAGAGGAAGAAATGATAAGAAAGAGTTGACGAAGATTTCAAAAGGCAGCTTGAAAAGACAAAGTAAAGGAATAAAATGAAATATGTGAAGAGGAACAGGAAATCAAATGGGAAGAGGATGGTTGGCATTTCTGAACCAGAAAGAACTGAAGGATTAATTCAAGCCTCTAACTGTAAGACTGAAGTATTCTCTGGGCAAAATATGGAAAGACACGGGAAGCACCAAAATAAGGAAGAAGAAATTCACATACACCAAAAAGAACTGGTCAACATTCACATATATAATCAAGAACTGATGATCCTGCAGGAAGAAGTCATAGCTGTACTGAAGACACTGGCTGAAAACCAGAGCTTTGGGAATGGAGAGAAACATCAAATGAAGTATTAGAACAAGTGGATGCAGTGCTGACAAAACATCTGGAAGAGTGACCCGGCTAATGAAATAGACTGGATCCAAATTTGTGCCCCTTCCAAAGAAAGGTGGAACCACAGAATGAGGGTTACTAAACATCATTAATGTATTACACTTGATTCTAATCAGTGTGTTAATACACACTGATTAGCATTATGAACAATTTTTTTTTATTTTTGTGTGCGTGTACCGTCAAATCAGATCTGACTGGTACAGGAAGAGATTGTCCCTCCTTCCCTGGCAGAGCATCTGGTGGATTCAAACCTTGCGCCTCTGGGATTGTAGTTGCAGCTCCTTGCCACTGGGCCACCAGAGCTCCCCATAAGCTTAGTTATTTCAATAGTAATGGAAAGTTGGGTTTTTTCTGAATATGCTAAGAAAAGTAACAATTTTTGCTTTTGGCTCCAGCCTAAGCCTTGGTGTCCTCTCTCCTTTTCCTCACCCTCTATCCCTCTCCCTCTCTCTTGGTTTTTTCCTCAGCAGCACCGTGTTCTCAGTCCTGCTAGAAAAAGGCAACACTGCTCCTTGAGTCCAGAGGCGTAGAAGAGGCACCATACCTGGCAGGACTAACAGGGTTTTCTCATACTGGCCCCGAATCTCAAGGCAGAGCCCAGCAAGACAGATCAGAGGGCCTGTGTGCCTGAGTAGCTGTCCTGACTGAAGAAATGGATCCTGCTTTGACCTGAATTGTCAACTCTTCTAATAAGCCCCCTAAGCATGAGTACTGTCTGAGTTCAGTGTGGCCACTACAGTGGACTAGCAGCCAGTGAACAGAGCGGTGAGACCCTGGGGAGGGATGACAGTGACAGAACTGATGAAGGTAGGTATGAAGTGGGGAGGCATATACGACCTCAGAGGAATCAGTTTCGTGCTATTGATTTTGTAACTGAGAACAATTCTCCAACCTCACTGTACTTTATGGTCACCAAGACTGTGTCCACATCGTAACTGATGGAGCCTGTGAACACGTTACCTTTAGTGGCAGCTCCACCTTATAAAGTGGGTTGCTATGTGCTGAAATCAACACACCCGCATAAAACAAAGCTTAAGACTATGTGACCCTAGGAGAAAATTATTAAGCACTCAATGAAAAGGTATTATGCACATGGACCTCACTTGATGGATGGTACAGGAATCCAAGTGGCTACATCTGTAAAAGGAATCATTGGAGAAGTTCAGTATCAGCAGTCAAAACCAGGCCAGGTGCTGACTGCGGAACAGACCATCAATTACTCATGTGCAGGTTCAAACTGAGGCCGAAGAAAATAAAAATAAGTCCTCAGGGGAGCTCTGGTGGCCTAGTGGCAAGAAGGTGCAACTACAATCGCAGAGGTGCACGGTTCGAATCCACCAGATGCTCTGCCGGGGAAGGAGGGGCAATCTCCTCCTGTACCAGTCAGATCTGATTTGACGGTACACGCACACAAAAATAATAAAATAATAAAAAAAATTTAAAAAAAAAGAATCAAATTTTGACCTTGAGTCTATTCCATCTCAATTTCAAAATCAACTTAAGAATAGGTTTGAGGTGTTGAACACCACTGATTGGAGACTGAATGAGTCGTGGGATGACATCAGGGATATCATCCATGAAGAGAGAAAAAGGTCACTACAAAGGAGAAAGAAATTTACATGGATGTCAGAAGACAAGCTGAGAAACTGTACGAGGGCGTCAAGAAGCCAATACAAGGGGGGGAAATGTTGAAGGACAAGAGCTGAACAGAAGACTTAAAGGGCAGCTCGAGAAGACTAAAGCAAGTCGTGTAACAGAATGAACAGAGGGTGGTGGTGGTTGTTAGGAGAGCCTATTTCTTGGAAGGGTGGAGGGTCAGACAAGGAGAAGAAGAGCCTCAAGCAGACGGGTTGCACGGTGAGTGCAGCAATGTCAGAAGTTGTGAGGATGGCACAAGCTAGGACAGGGTTCACATCTGTTGGTCTTGGGTTGCTATGAATCGTACTCGACTCACTAGCACCAACCAAAACCACAACCACTAAACACGAACCTACCCAGAGGGGCCTCAGAAGATCGGTCAGGGGCTTCTGACAGGGCACAGCCTTGAAAACGCTATGAAGCAGGTTTTCTCTGTGCATTGAGGGGTCACCAGGGCTAGCGACCAGCCCAGTGGCTGTTACCCAATCCACAACACATTCTGTGAATTCCTGCCTCCATGATCTTGTGACAGAAGGACTAGGCAGGCGGCAACCAGCTACTACCACTACTGCTACTACTACTACCGATCCGAGAGAGGTCACAACAGAAGGTTCCAGGCAGAGAGAGAAAAACGTGCAAAAAAACCAGGCTTACTAGCCTAATAGAGACTGGTGGAAACCCAAGACTACAACTCCCAAGCACCCTTCAAGCTTGGAACTGAAACCACAGGCAGGAAACCAGATGGGCTTCTAAAGTGTCCAGTGCAGCATGGAGCAGGGCAGGAACCTGCACCCATCCCTGAGATAAAGCTCTCCCTTTCCCTGTCTCTGGGTATACACACACAGACATGAACATAAGCGTCACACACTGTGATTCTCTGGAGAACTCAGAATCAGATATCAGGGAAGGACCACATCACCCCTGAGATATCAGGGAAGGACCAGTCACCCCTGAGATATCAGGGAAGGACCAGTCACCCCTGAGATATCAGAGAAGGACCCGTCACCCCTGAGATATCAGAGAAGGACCCGTCACCCCTGAGATATCAGGGAAGGACCCGTCACCCCTGAGATATCAGGGAAGGACCCATCACCCCTGAGATATCAGGGAAGGACCACCATCACCCCTGAGATATCAGGGAAGGACCACATCACCCCTGAGATATCAGGGAAGGACCCGTCACCCCTGAGATGTCAGGGAAGGACCCGTCACC